TATATATATATATATATATATATATATAATTTTCTATTTATAAACTTCTATGCACAAATTTAATATTTTTATATTTGTTTATTTGTATATATTCATGAATTTGTCGGTATTTTTTTTTTTTTTTTTCAAATTTAAAAAGGGACAGCGCACTACGTTTTATTTATTGTTCAGATGCCAGTATTCAGGACATTTTATTGCAGTAGTCTTTTACACATATATTTCTTTTGGCTTAGCGCAAGAATTTAATTTATTTATTATTTGTTCAAACATTGCTAAAGAGAAAAAAACTATTAACTTTTACAAATTGGTTAAGTATGCTGTGTATACTTTTTTTGGTGTACCATTTACTAAACAAAAAACATTAAATGTACTGGGTGTCATGATGTAGCAGACTGAACCTGTGGCCATAGACAACCTAATGATTTACGAGACTTGATTTCCAGAATATAATAAAGGTCAATCAATCAGATGACTGCATAAAGGATTATCTAAAACCAATTCACTAGTAAGATCATAATTTGTCTCTGTCACATCTAAAACCACTTAGTGATCAGGATATACAGTAGTTGTATACAATGTGTAACATAAACCATTGTGTCTTAACAGCTGCAATAATGTACTGTGCAATATTGTCAACAGGGGGTTTCTATTGTTTCCATAAAAAGATCTCTGATTCTAAAATCTATGGACATGCAACAGAGATGTACAGGTTTACAGAATCCCTGCTATGCACACAGTTTCAATTAAACCTGTAAAACTGCAGAGTAAAGCAGTCAAAAGAAGCCATTAAATATATTATTATTATTATACAGTATTTATATAGCGCTAAAAGGTTTGCTCAGCGCTGTACATTATAGTGGGGGACAGTACATGAGATTATACAGTAACAAAACAAAACACAAGGGGTTCAAGGGCCCTGCTCTTTCGAGCTCACAATCTACAATCTAAAATATACAGTAAAATATATTAAACTGATTGTTTTGGCTTAGAAAGTGTATTGGGTCTGATTGTCACAGGGACCTTATACTGAAAGCTCTCTGAGATGTAAAGACTTAATTAATCAAAAACGACAGTAAAGAGCACAAACCCTACTCAACTTATACAATAGAAGCACACTTCATAATAAAGCAAATAACTAGGGCCCTCTAGTGGTACGTTTTCAGATTAACTAAATATTAGTTGTCACTTCTAAAATGACTTTTTCAGATCAAAAAAGGGAGAAATAAGAGATGTTTTAATGTCGAAGAGGATTAAAATGTCAAGCTTTAAAAGAATGCACAGGTATCTTCATCAGATTTGCTTGATAAGGAGACTGTCTCTGAATCAAACTTAAACTGATTGTAAAGGTTAAAACTGTATTTAAAAAAAATATGTTATACTTACTGGTTTTGCACACAGCAGCCCCAATCCTCCCATTCTGTGGTCCCCTGCCGGTGCTCCTGGTCCCTCCCCCCACCACCCCACCAGGTGTCTACCATAGCAATCCGCTTGCTATGGGGATACTTGTGCAGGCTTGCTCCCGATCCCGCCCCCTGCTCCCTTCTCACTAGCAGTGATTGACAGCAGAGGGAGTACTGCTATGTCTTAGCCAATGAGGACACAGAGAGCTGAGAGAGCCTCTGTCCTCATGCACATCGCTGAATCGAGATCGGGCTCAGGTAAGTATAAGAGGAGTGGGAGCTGCATGCAGGTTTTTTTACCTTAATGCACAGAATGCATTAAAGGTAAAAACAACTTTCTGCCTTTAAACCTACTTTAAAAGAGAAGTATAGGTTTCATTTAAAAAAAAAATTACTCACCTAGGTGGATGCAGCATTGGTCTGATGCCGCATCTGTCCCCCACCAGATCTTAGGGTGAAAACTGAGCAATCAAACACCACTGATCACTCAGCTCTCAGGATTCAGTGAGTAGAAAGCTGCTGCCTGCTAGGCACCGGCTCTCTGCTATGCCCCTCCAGTGCTTACTGAAGACCTGGGCTGTGGAGAGGATGAGAATGGCTGGCTCCTGCTCTCAGCGGCTTGCTAATAGCCTGAGCCAGCTGCCACTCCAGACAATTTGGTTGTTATTTTATTCAGAGCCTGGACCGTTGTGATATCAGCCATCAGCAGGCTTTGGCTTGCTGTCGGCTAACAATGGGTCACAGGAGTGCAAAATGAACTGTACACATGTGATCCATAGGAGAAGTACAGCTAAAAAACATTTGGCTATACCTCTCCTTTAACAATGCAGATCAGAATCATTTCCATTACACAACAGGAATGCCTGTTCTGTTTTTGCAACAGCTATCAAGCTCTAGCTGAACTGTTGCTCTCCACACTGCATATTGAAAACCGTCATTTGTCTTTATTTAACAGCTTGATCAGCCATAATTACCCCACCTCTATCAGTACACATACAGTCAGGTCCATAAATATTGGGACATCGACACAATTCTAACATTTTTGGCTCTATACACCACCACACAATGGATTTGAAATGAAACGAACAAGATGTGCATTAACTGCAGACTGTCAGCTTTAATTTGAGGGCATTTACATACAAATCAGGTGAACGGTGTAGGAATTACAACAGTTTGCATATGTGCCTCACACTTGTTAAGGGACCAAAAGTAATGGGACAGAATAATAATCATAAATCAAACTTTCACTGTTTAATACTTGGTTGCAAATCCTTTGCAGTCAATTACAGCCTGAAGTCTGGAACGCATAGACATCACCAGACGCTGGGTTTCATCCCTGGTGATGCTCTGCCAGGCCTCTACTGCAACTGTCTTCAGCTCCTGCTTGTTCTTGGGGCATTTTCCCTTCAGTTTTGTCTTCAGCAAGTGAAATGCATTCTCAATCGGATTCAGGTCAGGTGATTGACTTGGCCATTGCATAACATTCCACTTCTTTCCCTTAAAAAACTCTTTGGTTGCTTTTGCAGTCTGCTTTGGGTCATTGTCCATCTGCACTGTGAAGCGGCGTCCAATGAGTTCTGAAGCATTTGCCTGAATATGAGCAGATAATATTGCCCGAAACACTTCAGAATTCATCCTGCTGCTTTTGTCAGCAGTCACATCATCAATAAATACAAGAGAACCAGTTCCATTGGCAGCCATACATGCCCACGCCATGACACTACCACCACCATGCTTCACTGATGAGGTGGTATGCTTAGGATCATGAGCAGTTCCTTTCCTTCTCCATACTCTTCTCTTCCCATAACTCTGGTACAAGTTGATCTTGGTCTCATCTGTCCATAGGATGTTGTTCCAGAACTGTGAAGGCTTTTTTAGATGTCGTTTGGAAAACTCTAATCTGGCCTTTCTGTTTTTGAGGCTCACCAGTGGTTTACATCTTGTGGTGAACCCTCTGTATTCACTCTGGTGAAGTCTTCTCTTGATTGTTGACTTTGACACACATACACCTACCTCCTGGAGAGTGTTCTTGATCTGGCCAATTGTTGTGAAGGTGTTTTCTTCACCAGGGAAAGAATTCTTTGGTCATCCACCAGAGTTGTTTTCCGTGTTCTTCCGGGTCTTTTGGTGTTGCTGAGCTCACCGGTGCGTTCCTTCTTTTTAAGAATGTTCCAAACAGTTGTTTTGGCCACGCCTAATGTTTTTGCTATCTCTCTGATGGGTTTGTTTTTTCAGCTTAATGATGGCTTGCTCCACTGATAGTGACAGCTCTTTGGATCTCATCTTGAGAGTTGACTGCAACAGATTCCAAATGCAAATAGCACACTTGAAATGAACTCTGGACCTTATATCTGCTCATTGTAATTGGGATAATGAGGGAATAACACACATCTGGCCATGGAACAGCTGAGAAGCCAACTGTCCCATTACTTTTGGTCCCTTAACAAGTGGGAGGCACATATGCAAACTGTTGTAACTCCTACACCGTTCACCTGATTTGGATGTAAATACCCTGAAATTAAAGCTGACAGTCTGCAGTTAAAGCACATCTTGTTCATTTCATTTCAAATCCATTGTGGTGGTGTATAGAGCCAAAAATGTTAGAATTGTGTTGATGTCCCAATATTTATGGACCTGACTGTATTTAATTTATTTCTTCAAATGTTACTTTGTGGAATAAACTGTTTTTCAAGTGTATAAATGCATAAGGCCTGGCCGCTGTTGTCACTCCTGGTCCTCGTACACGTCACTTCCCGTGATTTGGATTCAGCCTGTGGAATGCACATCAGCTCAGACAGTAAGAATGTCAGTGCTGAGTGGTGTGCATTTATGCTATGCGAGTATTCCAGTCCTACAATGTCTAAAATAAGAAGACCTTGGTGACGTCAATCCTTTTGGTTATATGATATGCATAAATAGATGGAGATCTGGTAAGCCTTTAATCATACCGCATGTGATGATTTGTCATCGTGTGGAATTCTACATGGGTGTTGGGAACATAGCGGAGTGAAGGTTTATGGAAAACCATTAAATGGACTATTCTTTTTTTGGACACTATGAAATATAAGATGTAAATTGAGTATTATTTACAGAAGCAATTATTTACTTAGTTTATGGATTTATACACATTCTTGTAAGATATTGAGTAACATTATTTTATCACAAGTGGGAATAGCACCTTCTTTCAATGATGAATTTTGAGAGTTTTTCACACTGTAAAGAGCTGCTTCCCTTTATTTTATATTTTTGTTTTGATGGTGTGACGGCGCCCCTTGGTTTATTTATTACATGTTTTTCAAGTCCTAACCCTGTTGTATTGAACTGTATTGTCTCCCGTTATATTGTAAAGCGCTGAGCAAACTGTTCGGGTTATATAAATCCTGTATAATAATAATAATAATAATAATAAGAGTGCCTGCGCGAAGACTATGGACATTAAGTGGTTTATATATTCTTAACAAAGCACTAAAAGAGCTTTAACCGCCTCCCACCCGCCATATAAGGAAATGACAGGCGCAAGGCGGTTCTCTCGTTCTGGAGGACGTCATATGACGTCCTCCCACTCTAAGCGTGCAGTGCTGCGATCGGTGGTGCGCTGTGTCCCTCGGACACAGCAGATCACCGATCAATGGAAAGAGCCGAAGATGGCGGCTCGGTCATGTGATCAGCTGTGTCCAATCACAGCTGATCACATGTAAATAGGGAAATGCCGGTTATCGGCATTTCTCTCCTCACAAGCTGTCACGCTGACAGCTCAAGGGGACAGGAGAGCCGGTAATCGGCATTCCACAGTGAGGACATGTACACTGATGATCAGTGTAGCCCCAGCAGTGCCAGCTGTCAATGCCCATCAGTGCTTCATCAATGCACATATCAGTGCCTACCAGTGCACATCAATGCCACATATCAGTGCCCATCTGAGCTGCCTTTCAGTGCCACTTATCAGTGCTGCCAATAAGTGCCACCTATCAGTGCCAGTCAGTGCCGCCTATCAGTGCCAGTCAGTGCCGCCTATCAGTGCCAGTCAGTGCCGCCTAACAGTGCCAGTCAGTGCCGCCTAACAGTGCCAGTCAGTGCCGCCTAACAGTGCCATATATGAGTGTTGCCTTTCAGTGCCCATCAGTGATGCCTGTCAATGCCCATCAGTGCCACCTACTAGTGCCTCCTCATTAGTGCCCATCAATGCCACCTATCAGTGCAGCCTATCAGTGCCCATCACTGCAGCCTCATTAGCGCACATCGGTGAAGGAGAAAAATCACTTAGTTACAAAATTTTATAACAACTAAGAAAAAACTTTTTTTTTTCAAAATTTTCAGTTGTTTTTGGTTTGTTTAGCAAAAAATAAAAACCCAAAGGTGAGTAAATACCACCAAAAAAAAGCTCTATCTGTCTCAAAATGATAAAAATTTCATATGGGTACAGTGTTGCATGACCGCGCAATTGTCATTCAAAGTGCGACAGCGCTGAAAGCTGAAAACTGGCCTGGGCAGGAAGGCGGTATAAGTGCCCTGTAGGCTGGTGGTTAAACAAGCCATCTCTGACCCCTCTAGCTGTTTTTAATTCAAAGTTGTTCCTTCTAAAAGGTCACAACAAAGATTCTAAAGTCAGTTTTAGTCAGTTATTAACAGCTTAGAAACACCTGCTGATTCTTTTTATCAGACACCTGGCAGCCTGTGAAGATCCTAAATCACAGAAGAAAAAAAAAACTAAGCATGTGTTGGGAACTTCAAGAATTACATTTCTTCACAATGCCTACAGATACAGAGATGACTGAGGTCTTGTTATAAAGGTAATTACTGCTAGTTCAGATCATGTAAATAATTTAGTATGTGTGATCTTGGCACATGTCTACTTTAAACCTAAATCACCAAATAAAACATGTTTGCTGGCTTTAATTGTCATTTCTTCAGTTCAGGGTGATAACATTGTTGTAGAGCGATCGTGATATCATCTGATGAGAGTGGATCTCATGGAGCCACGAGATCTATCCTACATCAGTGCTATCACCCTGAATTGAGGAAGTGGCAATTTAAAGCCATGAATCCCTTTTTATTTGGTGAAATAAAGACATTTAATGTTCAATAAAGCAGATGACATCCTCCCATTTTTAGACAAACCATACCGGGCGCCTCAGCCGATGGACCACTGCTTTTTTTTTTTCTTCCGACTCTTGCTCTTACTAATTCCGTGTATCCACCTGAAAACCCAGGATGGGAACCCCTGAGGTATAGAGACCAACCATCCATCCTGACCCTGCATGGAGAGAGGTTTTCTCCACTGGTGCGCTTTGAAGGTTGCATGTTTTCGACCCCAGATGTAAGTCAAATTTTAGCTTTCCTCCTCATACTACGAAACTACTCTCCATGATTTTTACTCTTTTTAAAGCAATTTATAATTTTTTTAAATAATCTACATCACTGTAAGGGTTCTCCTGCCCCCTTCTTTTCTTTTTTGGTGGACATCATGAGCTATACCAAAGACCCCTGGCCAGCTCTTCAGGACTGAATCCCTCTGGCCATGTTTGATCACCACATCTTAGACCTTCTTCACAGGCTTGTCATACAGAATATCTGATGTGCTCGCTGCAACTTGGGGGTGGGGGAAAGTTTTTATTTTGATTTACAGTGCTCAAAAGTTTGCATACCCTGGCAGAATTCGTGAAATTTTGCACATTCATATTGAAAATATGATGGATTGTGCCATAAAACAAAAATCTTTTATTTAAAAGGTAAGTTCACCTTTCATAAAATGTTATACCCCTATTAAGGGTGTAACATGTTATGAAAGGACCAGCCAACAACCACCCCCCCCCAATTGTGACAGCTAGCGGGGGATCTTCTCCCCCTGCTAGCTGTCAATTTATTTATTTTTTTAATGCGATTGTGCAGGGCTCCACCCACCCGGCCATGTCACTCATTCACAGAGTTCTGTGAATGGGAAACTACAAGTCCAACAGCCTTTGAAGCTGTCAGCTTGTAGTTCTCAATTAACTACCATGGCGCTGTGGTAGTTCATTGATTCTCCCTGTCAGTAAGTATCGGCTTTCCCATACAAGGTACAAGCAAGCTGACACACGGACAGGTCTGCAGGAGTCCTGCATGGCACGAGTGATCTGTTCAATCACTTATTAAGAAGTTGAAAATTCAGGGGTCTCTTGATACCAAGCCAAGGTCTGGTAGACCAAGAAAGATTGCAGCCACAACTGCCAAAAATTGTTTGGGATACCAAAAACTCCTCAGGTAACCTTAGGAGAAATACAGGCTGCTCTAGAAAAAGACAGCGTGGATGTTTCAAGGAGCACAATATGACGATACTTGAACAAAAATGAACTGTATGGTTGAGTTGCCAGAAAGAAGTCTTTACTGCGCCAATGCCTCACAGCTTCTGGCACACTGTAATCAGGAGTGATGAGTCCAAAATAGAGCTTTATGGTCACAACCATAAGGGCTATGTTTGGAGAAGGGTCAACAAGGCCTACAGTGACAAGAATACCATCCCCGCTGTGAAGCATGGTGGTGGCTTGCTGATGTTTTGGGGGGGGGCGGCGAGCTCTAAAGGCACTGGGAATCTTGTAAAAATCGTTGGCAAAATGAATGCAGCATGTTATGAGAAAGTACTGGCAGGCAATTTGCATTCTTCTGTACAAAAGACCAAAGGCTTTGCATGACCTGAAGGCATTTTGCCAAGATGAATGGTCAGCTATACCACCTGCAAGAATTTGGAGCCTCATAGACAACTATTACAAAAGACTGCACCCTGTCATCGATGCTAAAGGGGGCAATACACACTATTAAAAACTAAGGGAAATGCAGACTTTTTGAACAGGGCATCATTTGTTTACTTGTTGACATGTTTTGTCTTATGATTGAGCCATTCTGTTATGACCTACAGTTGAATATGAACACCATAAGAAATAAGAAACAAAAGTAATGTGTTTTGCCTGCTCGGTTTTCTTTAAAAATGGTACATACTGTATATTACCAATTCTCCATGGGTGTGCAAACTTTTGAGCACAACTGTATGTTTATTATTTTAACATTTACAAATTAACTTGTATGAACTGTATACATTAGGCTCTAAGCCAGGCTCTGCAGTGAAAGATACAGTAGCCAAATGTGCAGGTCAGCTGTTAACACTTCTATTCACACTATTCATATTAACTCTTACCTTGTACTTCCCCTGGTCACAGCCACACAGCGTGCTTTCCATTGTGTAACTTCTCTGGACACCCAGCTCTCTCCACACCACTACACGGGCTGTAGATTCCTTGGATTTCTCAACCACAAAACTACAGCTGGCCATGCAAAATGCTGGAGCAATCTGGCTAAGAACTTTAGGGAGAGTCTGGAAAAACAGTAAATTCACAGATAATATCAAGAATACATTTGTGTACATTTAATGTACAGTAAAGATGCAAGTATTTTTTATCAGAAAAATTGATTTTCAAATTTACAGTATGTTCAACAAAATCCAAAAGTCAAGGACAAACTGCTGTCTGTTTAATAATTTGCTGCAGACAAGAAATGTACCCATGGAAATCTAACCTCTGTTGTGACATACATACACAAATAATATCATAGTTAACTGGCCTAAATAGTAAAGGAAGAAAAGTGGAGCTGTTGCCAGCAGCATCCAGACTTCAGATAAATCTTGCAATGCAGGTCAGAAAAGAAGGCATCTCAGTGGATGTCATGGCTAACCATTCAATGTTAATGTCACTATTCAACCTGCATCCTAAGAGTATAGGTAGTCATGGATCTACCCCATCATAAAGACTTACACTCACATACAATTATAAGGGGAGCAGCCCTGACATAACATAATAAGTGCTGTATTCTGCTGAAAATGGGTCACAGGCAGGGGCGGATTGACCATTTGGGAACACGGGCACTGCCCGAGGGCCCGGGGTAAGTAGGGGGCCCCATGAGATGCCCCGGGTACCTTTCATAGGCTTTTTTGGGTGTGGTTTGAGTGTGGGTGAAGACACAGGGGCCCCATGATCCCCTATTGCCCGGGGGCCCCATGAGTTTTCAGTCCGCCCATGGTCACAGAATTCTAACTGAAATGACATAAATATGGCCAGTACAAGATACACTATATTGTCAAAAGTACTGGGACACCTGCCTTTACATGTACATGAACTTTAATGCCATCCCAGTCTTAGTCCATAGGGTTCAATATTAAGTTGGTCCACCCTTTGCAGCTATAACAGCTTCAACTCTTCTGGGAAGGCTGTCCACAAGGTTTAGGAGTGTGTCTATGGGAATGTTTGACCATTCTTCCAGAAGTGCATTTGTGAGGTCAGGCACTGGTTTCGGATGAGAAGGCCTGGCTCACAGTCTCAGCTCAAATTTATCCCAAAGTGTTCCGTCGGGTTGAAGTCAGGACCTTGCTTTGTACACTGGTGTGCAGTTATGTTGGAACAGGAAAGGGCCATCCCCAAACTGTTCTCACAAAGTCAGGAGCATGAAATTGTCTAAAATGTCTTGGCATACTGACACCTTAAGAGTTCCCTTCACTCGAACTAAGCCCAACCCCTGAAAAACAACTCCCCCCTCCACCCCCCCTTCCCCCTTCACCAAACTTCACACTTGGCACAATGCAGTCAGGCAAGTACCACTCTCCTGGCAACCGCCAAACCCACACACGTCCATCGCATTTCCAGAGAAGTATGATTCGTCACTCCACAGAACACATCTCTAGTGCTCTAGAGTCCAGTGGCGGCGTGCTTTACACCACAGCATCCGACACTTTGCATTGCACTAGGTAATGTAAGGCTTGGATGCAGCTGCTCCGCCATGGCAACCCATTCCATGAAGCTCTCTATGCACTGCTGTTATGCTAATCTGAAGGCCACATGAAGTTTGGAGGTCTTTAGCTATTGACTCTGTAGACAGTTGGTGACTTCTTCGCACTGTGCGGTTCAGCAAGCTGATCCCGCTCTGTCATTTTACGTGGCCTACCCCATTCTGGCCGAGTTGCTGTTTCCATTTGCTTCCACTTTGTTATAATACCACTAACCAGTTGACCGTGGAATATTTAGTGACAAAGATATTTCACCAATGGACTTATTGCACAGGTGACAACCTATCACGGTACCATGCTTGAATTCACTGAGCTCCTGAGAGCGACCCATTCTTTCACAAATGTTTGTAGAAGCAGTCTGCATGCCTAGGTGCTTGATTTTATACACCTGTGGCAATGGAGGTGAGTGAAACACCTGAATCCAATGATTTGGAGGGGTGTCCCAATACTTTTGGCAATATAGTGTATATAAAGAATGAAGGATGAGAAGGGAAATAAGGGTGAGATTTTCTATTAGACCATTAGGTGGAGCCGCTTTAC